CCAGCCTGGCATGGGCATCTCCACACTCTGGATCCCTCAGGAACTCCCTGGGTGCTGGCAGAACCCACCCAGCCTCCCCCAGCCTTTTAAATTCTTGGAATGTTCTCATTCCACATCCAAGGTTATTAAAAAAATTGGGAAATATCAACAGCCTCCAAATGCGTGGAGCTCTGGAACAACCCTGGATTCTCGAATTCATCTGACAAAAAATGACCACAAAGGAATTCTGGGATGCTGGGATAATAAATTCTTTGAAACAATTCCCAGATTTCCAGAAACTTGGGAGAAACTCTACAAAAGAAGGCAAACGACTTGAGAAGACCAAGAAGAAACATGCACAAAACCCAGTGTAAAAAAAGGGTTCAGTTCCCAAAATTCCCATCATCTTTCCAACCCTGTCATCCCAATCCCAAAATTCAACCCCAAAATTGGGGTTTTTCCAAACACCAGCTTGGAAAAAGAAATCCTCCACGTCAGGAGGATTTGTGGCAGTCAGAACAAGGAAAGCTTTAATCCCAAGCAGCTTTTTTTACCTGAGCAAAATAGAGTCTGAGCTCTTTTCCAAGGAATTCTGTCTTGTCCAGCTGGATCCTGGCATCTGCTGCAGACAAAGGGTTGCTGAAGTTTATCCTCACTCTTTTGAAGCTCTTAAAATACTGGAAGGTGAGGTCCCTGTCATAGGGGCGGAACAGGGACTCAAACTTGGCCTGGAGGCAAAGGAGCAGAGGAGAAAATCGGCATTAAACACTAAAAAAGGAATTAATTCTAAATGAGAAGTTAGTAATAAGGCAAATTACCACGCTTGAATATTGATTATTGTAACAGCTTTGTTTATTTTCCTTTTCCTTTCTAGAATGAAGTTGTCTACCTTATCCCTGATTTCTGTATCCTCCAAATACATCAATAATAATAATAAATGATGTTATCACTTATTATCTTATTACCATAAATTAATGTTGGACAAGACACTCTAATTTAGCTACAGAAGATATTGAAATGTCTCTTAGAAAATTAATACCCAAAAACCATGAAAAAAAACCAAAACTCCGCCAAGCCTTTGCCCAGATGTGCAAATTTCAAAGGAACCACCACAAGTTTTCATAGAGAAACAGGAAAAAATCCTGATTTTCCAGCTCAATGTGATTTTCTGCAGTGACTCAGCACCAAGAATGAAGTCCATGAACGTCTCCTGATATTCTGAACTGAATTTCTGGAAAGTGCTTCCACTGTCCCTGCAGGATCCCAGAGACACCAGAGGAGCTGCCAGGCCCTTCCCAAGGTTTTTATTCCAATGGATGCAAATTGGGGGAATTTCCAGATATTTTCTCTCCCTAAAAGCTTCCCAGAAACTCAGGATAAAGCCACAATAAACATTATTCCATTGAGGGTTTTTTACTGTAATATTTTGAATTAGTAGGGGGAAAAAAAAAAGCAGGGAAATTACATAAGAAGGCAGAAATTAATTCAGAATTTCGTTTTCCTCCCTGAGAAGCTGCACTTCACACGCTCACCACAGCTGGGTATAAAATCATTCTATTTTAAAGAGATTTTAAAATCAGAGCTGTTCTGCTTCTGCAACTTCTTCAGAATGAGCTCTGAAACAGGAGCAGGACCCTGAGCTGGTGTTTGGGAACCTCAAAATACATCTTTGGTATATCTCAAAGGTGAGACAGAACCATGGAAAGTAAACCCAAAAATTCCATTTCCAACTTCTCACTCTGTATTTAAAGACAGAAATCTTTTTCCTAATTTTAATTTATTTAAATATGTGATTATAGAGATCAGAAACATCACTTTATCACTATGACACTTCAAAAAAAAAAAAGTTATTTTTGTCCTTAAGGTATCTTAGCAGTAACAGCTCACTGTATCAGGACTGATAAGTATTTTATTTTCTTTTATATTTACATTATTATTTATTTTATATTGCAAATCAGCTAAATACAGACCCAAGAGGATTCCTTATAGTATTACCAGGAAAAAAAAGCCCAGGAGAATCACATGGATTACAAATTCACTGCCAAAATCAGTGAAGGAACAGCAGCTCTGAACTCCCACACAAACTGAGGCTGCTGTGTTATTTATTCATTTATTCATTTATTTACTTATTTATTCCAAGTATTCCATCAGAAACAACCTCCGCTTCCAAAAGCCATTGCAGGGAAATGAAATATTTTTTCTCTGACAAAAATATTTCATAATAAATTATTAAGGCTATTTAATGAGGAGGGTTCTTGATGGGAAGTTTGGACTCCCAGCATGCAGGAGCTCAGAGCTGTGCCCTGCCCTTTTCTCCAAAATCAGAATTGCAGAATCCCAGACTCACAAGGTTGGGAGAGCCCTTCAGGATCGTGGAGTCCAACCTGTTCTGTTCCCTGAATCTCAACTAAACCTGGCACTAAACCCAGGCTTTGTCCAACACACCCAGGGACGGGGACTCCACCAACCCTGAATGAATTCAGCCATTCCAGAACTGATGAAATACTTGCTGAAAATTCAGAATACACCACACAGTCCAAGAAGTCTGGAAGGAAACTTGAGACAATTTTCCCAACCACAAAGAGCTAAAATTGAATAATTCCCAGAGTTGGAATCCTTCCCATTAGAGCGGCCTGCTGCACACTCTCCAAGAATTTTATGGCAAACTGTCCCTGTCATATTTTCTGAAAAATCCTCTTTGCCCAGGATTTCTTCTCCTGGGAAACTGAGAAGCCTCAGAGAAAAAGGAAAACAATATTATCTCTTTGCTTCTGCTGTGTTCTGTGGTTGGAAATTGTTTATCCAACATGTGAATTGTTTTTACTTAATAACCAATCACCATCTGGCTGTGTTGGGACTGAGGAGGCAGCCACGAGTTTTTAATTAGTATTTTGTTGAGCCTTCTGTCTGCATCCTTTCTCCACTATTTAGTACAGTTTTAGTACAGCATTCTTTAATATAATNATTCCTGCATCCCATAGTCCTTGCATCTCTGAATGCCTGAATCCCTCCATTCCTGCATCCCATAGTCCTTGCATCTCTGAATGCCTCTATTCCTGCCTAAATTCCTCAATTCCTGCACCCCTGCATCCCTCAATTCCTGCATCCTCAAATGCCTGCACTCCTGAATCCCTCCATTCCTACATCCCTGAATTTCTGCATCCCTGAATCCCTGCATCCCATAGTCCTTGCATCTCTGAATGCCTCAATTCCTGCATCCCTCAATGCCTAAATTCCTCAATTCCTGCATCCCTGAATCCCTCCATTCCTGCATCCCTGAGTGCATGCACGCCATAATCCTTGAATGCCTGCATCCCTACAGCCCTGGATGCCTGCATCCCTCAATCCTGCATCCCTGAATGCCCAAATTCCTGCATGCCTGAACCCCTGGATGCCTGCATCCCTCAATCCCTGCATCCCTGAATGCCTGCATCCCTCAATCCCTGCAATCCTGAATGCCTGCATCCCTCAATCCCTGCATCCCTGAATGCCTGCATCCCTCAATCTCTGCATTCCTGAATGCCTGCATCCCTGCATCCCTGAATTCCCAAATCCCTGCATCCCTCAGTTCCTGCATCCCTGAATGGCTGCACTCCTGAATGCCTGAATCCCTGCATCCTTGACTGCCTGCAGAATCCCTGAAT